CTCAGGAATATATAGACGCGTCCAACCCTGCCTATGTCCTCTTGCCTGGGAGTCCAGGAACTGGGATGTGAAGGTCAAGTCACTCTGCCCACCCCTCCACCCCCACCCCCAGCTCCAGCCTTCGAAAAGAGGAGGGAAGGGACCAGACTGGGGGGTCTTACGGTACATTGATGGTATCTTCCTCCATGAATTTAACCAAACTGCCCCTTGAGGAGAGTGGGAGTCCTTTGTTAGTGACGATCCGGTTCATGGACTTGGGGTTGTGAAAGTCTGTCTGTCTTTGCTCGCGTACATTTAGAATGTCGCGGTTTTCCTTTTTCACCATGGCCTCCTCCCCGTCTCCCACTTGATGGAGCGCCTTTGATGCCATCTGGTTTGCTTGGGACCACGGCTGTCGCTGCGCAGGACAACCGAGTTGTCAGGAAGCAGAGAGAAGCTGTGGCTACAGAGGACCAGCCCTTGGTTGGGGTGGGACGGGGGTGCAGGGAGCTGACTTCATAATCCTTGGCCACTGTAACAATTGGAGGCTGGCCTCCCCTGGATAGGGGCCACCCCTGATGTGGGGCCTGTGAGACCAAGGCCTAGGGTGGAGCCAGGGGAAGGACTGTGTAGCCTCTTTGGCCCGTCCAGTTCGAATAGTCCGCTAGTGTAGTGACCCTGCCATCTCATCTCTGCGGAGCTCGGCCTGGGTCACACCTGGGCCCTTCAGAACTGCCCTAGGAAGGAGGAGAAGGCAGACGGGGCAGGGAGGGAGGCAGCATTGGCATGGGCCTGTGGTGTGGGGGACTTTGTTGTGGATGCTGAAGCTCTAGGATCAGAGGTTCCCAATTGTACTTGGCCTGCTTCTACCTTTTCAGGAATCCCCCCCACAAAACCCTGTGTTCCCCACCCCCCTGAAATCTATCTACCTTCTTGAAGCCAACAAACAGATACGTGATCACAATGAACCCACAGTCCACTAACTATGACAAAGAAGTGTGCTAGCACCCGCCAGGGTATCTCACCATCCTGCAGTCCTGGGCTCTCAACACCGATGATGACTAATGCTCAGGCAGAAGGAAAGCGCAGCGGGCCCACCATTACATCCTAGCAGGTTAGATCGCTAGAATCCTAAATGTGCCCCACGCCCCCTTCTTCCCAGTTCCTTTACGTACTGAGTGACATTGGTGGGTACCACAGATGGCCACGAAGAGCACCTTATTTCTGCTCCCCAAGAAACGACTGTTACCATGGGAAAGTGTGTGAGCCACTCGGGGAGGGAGGGGCGGGAAGGGCGGGAAGTTAACCCGCACTGGCTTTGCACTGACATGCAGATGGAGGGCCAGCTGTGGACTTGCTAGCAGCGGGACCTTTGGTTTACTTGCTCCCACCGTCCATTGCCTCATGTGTGAAACCGGAAGAAGAGAGCGCCTAACTCGGACCGTGGAGCCAGAGCACGGACAGCTGTTTCATTTCCTCCAAGGCACAAGCAGAGAGAAACACACTTGGCCACGGAGTCGATTCGTGGGGACTCTATAGGGCGTGGGAGGGGGAAGGGGAGGAGGATTGTCCCCGTGGGGTTTCTGTAAATCTTTAGGGGAGCAGGAAACAGCTGGTGGCGTTGGACTGCTGACCTTGTGGACCGTGCCACCAGGGCTACTGGGATCAAGCAAAGCCCTCTGAAAAGACCAAGCCATGGTGTGTGTGTGTGTTTTATATAGTCAAGGTCATTGGAAAGTAGAGACGTAAAGGTGCCTCTGAGAGCCATCGTCTATAAATGACCCGATTTACCTATTCGATGACTTCCCCATCGTCTGTGTTTCCCTCACCAAGGGGTTTGTGTCTCTTGTTTAACTTTTTGTACCTTGTACCCAGCATCTAGGATGGGGGCTCTTCGGTATTGGGGGGAGGGTTGGGCTGGGGGGACGGACAAGAGGGGTTTACGAAAGAGGTCGGGAAGGAGCTGAGGCGGGGGCG